TTTTGACATATGGCTCAGAGGCTTGGACGATGACCAAAAGGGATGAGATGAAGCTGAGTGTCTTTGAGCGAGGAGTCCTCAGAAGGATTTATGGTCCAGTAAAGGAGGGTGATGTCTGGAGGAAAAGAAAAAATAGGGAGCTCAGTTCTCTCTATGCAGACATCGACGTAGTCACGTATATTAAACTGGCCAGACTAAGGTGGGCAGGGCATGTGGCCAGAATGAGCACCCTTGAAATACCAAAAAAAATAATGATGGAGGAGCTGCACCTCGTAAGACGGGTAGGAAGGCCGAGGACGAGATGGTTGGACAACGTGGCCTATGATGCGAGAACCCTGCTTGGTGTGCGGAACTGGAGAGCTGCAGCAGAAGACAGAGCCAACTGGCGGAGGCTCTTGGAGGAGGCCCAGTCTCGGTGACGGGATGTTGTGCCATACATGCATGCATAGTTTAAGAAAGAAATGCAACATTAACTGCTTAGCGTATAAGTAGTTTAGGTTCCATTACAAACATTTAATATCACAACTGTAACCAAATAAACCACGTGTTTCTTTTAAATATCCAAAAGTATGATGTCGGTTGTAGTACCAGTTATTCAACTTTCCAACGGTAATATCAAAGTTGAATTCAAACAAAATCCTGAGAGTTATGAATGCTTTAGTTGACGGCCGGAAAAATCATCTAAAAAAATTAGGTACTAAGGGTTGTATTTTTTTTATTTAAGTAAGAATTCGTATTTAAGATTTTTAAAAGGCCCTGAAAATCTAACCAGCTTTTTCATTACAAACATTTACTTGGCTTACTTAACTGAAAGCGCCTTTTGTATTTTGTAATTTATGATGCTTTGTAAATCATTTAATAACTGTACAAAAATAAATCGACTGGTTTATTGTTACCTATATATCAGGACACAGCAAAGGCAAATATAACTTTGGTTTGAAATTATACAATTTTTTTTTTCCCGGCTCTTAGTGTTCATTGGAATGAACGCCGGAACATACGTTTAATATTATATACCAGACAAAAACAATATATATATATATATATATATATATATATATATATATATATTTAACTACTGAAATAAAAAATATGAAAAAATAGGAGAAGAAAGATGGCAGTGGTGATAGAATAAAGTAATCACAAAATCATTTTACTATTTTTTATCTTATTAAAAATATAAATACTGGTTATTACAAAAGTCCTTGTGCATAAGTATTATAGTTTTATTTCATATTACATATTTTAAACATTTTTGAATACTACTCTTCAAAGCACTAACAGATCCAGGATTTAATTTTTTTTCGGTGGAGGGCTTCAGCTCGAAAGATTTTTTAAAAGTAAATATATTGAGATAATGACTTAGAAAGAAACTAGCTACCTATATGAAATGGTCTTTAAGTGGTTGTTGAAGTCCTATTAAAAGTAATTAGACGAACAATAATACTTTTCATGATAATTTTTTTCATAAAACATAGTTATATGTTACCATTTGGGGGAGGCGAGTGCTTCAGCCCGAAAGCCCCTCCCCCCTCCCACCGTAGATACGCAGGTGCTTCAAAGTAAAGTCCATTGTTTTCAACTACTTTCATCTGTCTTTCTGCCAGTAATTGTATTTGATGCCGGCCCTACTGCTCTGATTTTGAAGTAAAGACGACTTTTTAAAAAATGATCCATTGATTTCAACAAACCAAAATCTGATGGTTTCATGTATGGACTATACGCAATGATGACAAGACGAAACGTCTACATCTTGCAGTTCCGCTGATCGTTCCTTGGTCAAACGAGAACGATATGGCGAGGCATTGTCGTGTTGCAAAATGCCTAATTCCTGTTTACCAAAGAGGGGTTCTTTGCATTCAAAACTGCATAAACTATGTTTAGCTTTTCACAGTATAGATTTGAGTCCACTTCCCGACCATTAGGAACAAGCACAAAATGCAAAACGCCTTCCAAGTTCCACAAAACACAAAGTATCACTTTTTCTCAATCAGACTTTGGCGAATCTCCGTTTATCCGTCTTCACCTATCATTGGGGGACCATGGTCTTATATTCCGTACTCCCAAGCTTTTAAGAATACGAGTTACTGTGGCATTAGGCATTATAGGCATTATTACAGGCTTTTATGATATACGCCGATGGGCGACCTGATCTGGGTTAATCTGCAAGGCTCATATTCCCGTTGATAAAACGCTTGATCCAAAGCGCAGCAACTCTCCTTCTATGGCACAAATTTCTTCGACGGTTACCTTTGTGCTTACCTTTTTTCCATCAAGATTTTTTTCTTTTGACTTTGCACATGCGTTTTGAAAATGTAAATGACCCTATAAAGCTAACTTACGTCACAAGAAATTAAAGAATTAGTCAAAGTAAACATTGGCATAAATAGAAGGAACAAATCATTCTTATAGAATTTATTATGAGAGTTGGAATGAAGGGTTGTTAGGGGGTTCATATCATTAAGGGTTCATTCACAAGGACGTTTGTAACGACTAATAATAAGTAACTAACTATAGTGATAGTAATAATAGTAAGAAATAACTATAGTAATAAACTATTAATAAGTAACTATATGAATAAGTAAATATTGTGATAGTAATAATAGTAAGAAATAACAATAGTAATAAACTATTAATAAGTAACTATATGAGTAAGTAACTATAGTGATAGTAATAATATTAAGAAATAACTATAGTAATAAACTATTAATAAGTAACTATAGTGATAGTAATAATAGTAAGAAATAACAATAGTAATAAACTATTAATAAGTAACTATATGAGTAAGTAACTATAGTGATAGTAATAATAGTAAGAAATAACTATAGTAATAAACTATTAATAAGTAACTATAGTGATAGTAATAATAGTAAGAAATAACAATAGTAATAAACTATTAATAAGTAACTATATGAGTGAGTAACTATAATGATAGTAATAATAGTAAGAAATAACAATAGTAATAAACTATTAATAAGTAACTATATGAGTAAGTAACTATAGAGATAGTAATAATAGTCAGAAATAACAATAGTAATAAACAATTAATAAGTAACTATAAAATAAACTAGTAATAAGTAACTATAAAATAAACTAGTAATAAGTAACTATATGAAATGAATATATTTTAAAGAGAATTAAATTTTAATCAATAATTATTTGGATATTAGGATGAGTTTATTATAATATAAATTATCCAAAGACTTAGGAAATACGTAAGTAATCATAAGACAAATATGGGAAAAATTCGTTTTAAGAATCGCAATTTGTTTATTCTGTCCAGGACGTTTTCAATTCCACTGACTTTGTGTCTAATAGAAGAAAAAAATAAATCGCTCCCCTTCAAGAACTAATAAGTCTTAATACTTTTAAATTAGACTTATACGTCTTCCTAAGAGAGAAAGTATTACCCTTGAGGGTTTAAACAGAATTACACCGTCCCAAATGGGAATTTCAATTCCATGGTACACTTTTTATTTCATCAAAGTTATTTTCCATCCACACTTTTACTATACGAGTTGGAATAGAAAAATTGCCGTTCTTACCTCTGAAAAGCTTCTAAAAACTTAAATAATATCATAAAATTATAATATGGTTTGAAAAATGAATTTTAGTAAAAATTTAATTTTGTAAAACTAAAAATGGTTCATCATCACTAAACCTTGCTTTCAGGCATCAATTAATACTTCTGAATATTGTGTTACTATAAGAATGTCAAAACTATAAGTGATTTATGCAAACATAGAGCAAGAGAGGAAGGTACAAAATGTAAATTTTATAATTTTACATAAAAACTATAGAACGATGATTTCTTAAGTGGTCCGCTTTGTCCCCAATAATATTGTAACTGATTCCGTAAGAGCATGAAATAACATATCTTACAAATTCATATTAACAAATACATAAGAGCATAAGTTCACTGTTATTATTTTAGACGCGTAGTGTTCCTTTATCAATAATCGATTCATCCTGAACAATTTTTTTACATTACCCAAAACATGGAGAGCACGAGCGTGTAGAAGTGTAGTTGTGCTTGGCTCACGAATGTATCCTATATGTATATATGTATGTATCCTATAATTCCACGAATGTATCCTATAATCCTATATTCGTGGAAAATCCGTCATCACAAAGGGGACATTAAACAGAACTATCAGAAAATCGCTTGCTGCTCGATATTTCATCGGTTATTTTCGTTTATGCTCGGATTTCTCAATTCTTTTTAATTTTAACAATGAAAATTTGTAAGTTAAGAAAGTAGAATTGATATTCAGTATGCATTGATTTATTATTGCGTGTGCACAAAAATGTCGGGAATACGGAATTTTCGGAAAATTTATTTTTGGGAAACTCGTGAATGACCTATGATTGAATTACCTATATGCAACCTAAACGTTGTCATAAAAAACAAAATTGTTGTTCTTGAAATAAGAATCAGGGTTTCTACTCTCTGCTAGAATCCTCCGTTACGGAAAACATTGTCAATTTTAAACAAATTATTCTAATAAAATTATCATCAAGCAGCGTCCATTATAGACTGCACCCAATATTCGGAAGAACTTAATAGTATAAAATTATAGAAGGATTATGAAATTGTCCTCTAAGAAAAGTTTCACTGTATATTATGCGCCCAACAAATAATGAGATCGAAAGATGTTCATGCTTCATATAACAGATACTATTTATTTGTCTATCCTATTTAGTATGTCAATGTATCGTTGAAATAATTTACATAATTTTATTTTTAATAAAATATGATTAAAAACTATGAAAGAATGAGATTTAACAAATGACTCGTATGTACTGTTGCGAAAATCCCAAAAGACAAAGAATTATTTTTTGGTATGTTTTATGGTTTAATAGTAATATGCAACAGTGCATTTTTATAAATTGTGAATCAGAAATTTACCAGCTCTTTCTACGTAGTCATCGCTTAGTTAGTAAGTAAATAATAAAATACATATTTATGTATATATAATAAAGCTAGAATATAGATTTTATTATTGAGATCTACAAAAACTCACTGACTCACCCAACATCCTAATAACGTGCTTCTGTGCTCTGAGTGGCTCAGAGTTGGGACGCTTGATGAGCCTGGACCTCCTCAGTTTGACTCCTATCAGCAGGTAGAGGCCGCTGATGAGGGACATCGGGGCCACGAAGAATACGACCGTGGAGATCTGGAAGGAATACTGGAGCCATTGCCGGTCGCTTTTCAACGAGCAGTGGAGGCTCTCTTCCAGCACTGTGCCGTTCGGGGTAACTCGAGTCGGCACCTTGATAACTCCGAACTGGATGGCCTATGAGGAAAAGAGCAAAATTATACAAAAATATTTCATTTCTATTAGGTCAAAAGATAATAATATGTCAGCATCGTGTAGACATTATGTGTTAGTAATTATTTTACCTAAAAATGTAAAGTAAACTATATCCCATAGAAAATTTATCACGCATCAGAAACATTAAAATTAGTTGTGATTGTTGAATGAACTATTTCAGTCAAGTAGAATAGGCAACGGTTCTAAAATAATATTTTTAATTTTCTTAAACTGATAAATAATATTAAAGATATATACTGTCTACTCACTTTATTATTTTATACAGCTTTGGGTACAAACAATACCATGATTGACGTGATCGTTTATATCAACGTATAGTTTAGCTTACTTTTTAAAAATGACATTAAATAAGCAGAGAAATGTATAGTATTAGAATTATTTGAAAAATCGATAAAATATTCATGTGGGGTGCTCAGAAGGGATTTGATGACGCATTTTGAGAAATTGTTTTTAGAGGGGCATAATTTGGCGCAGACCGCAGCAAGTGTAATTTGTATGCTCTACAATTTTTCTGATTTTTACCTTCGCTTGCTCTGATTTTAAGAAAAGGTGAGCAATAAAATATCTTGGGATTGGAGGATAGGTTCTTGCGTAATGGAATGGGCACCCCAGATATTAAGTGTTTTCTATGAGATCCAAACCAAAACGCTTTAACAGGAGTGCTCATCCTCCTTTATAGTCGTGACTGTATGCTCTTCTTCCAAGAAATTTTATTAATTCTTTTTTCTTAAAAAATACTGCAAGAAAAGAAGAATTAAAAAGATTGTAGATCACATATGCAAATGGGGCGTGGAGGCCGAATGGGCTAACGTGTGTGCACAGTACCGCGAGTTGCTCGGAAACCAGCTAAACCTAGTTTTGAGATTGAAAAAAAAGTACGAGTTCGCGTCCCGGTGCCTGAGGGGATTTTAAATAGCCTAAACGGCGAGTTATAGATGAAAAGAAAAAAAAAATCACATATACAATTATACTTAATATAGTCTGGTGAAAATTTTCCCCTTGTGGTTTGAATGTTCCTCCAAATTGAAACGTCATAAAAGTATAATTCTTGTCAAAAATTCTTAACCTCTGAAAATATATGTTCCTTAAAAAGTCATAACCCCCTAAAAAAATGTCTTTTCTCCCTAAAAAATTCAAAAACCAATGATTATGTGCCTTCCTCAAAAATAGTGAAGACGCAAATTTCACCCGAGCTTTGGATAAGAGGCGCGTGGTTCAATACACCGCACCTTTGCTAATCCTGGTTCGGATTAGGCGATGTATTAGGTTATAATATTGGTATATATTGTACCATAAAATGAAATTTTTTTTTGTTATTCACAAATAAAGTTTTACTAGTAGGCAGGTGCGAATAATTCGCAGAATATATTATTTAGTGGAGGAATAGAAATACAAAATGGAAATAAATAGACGTGTATAATGCGTAGGAGGAATCAATTCTGTTTATCTTGGTCGATTATAATATTTCATCTAACATAATAGACAAACTATTATCACATGTTGCTTTTCTAGGGCCTATTTTTAAACGCTGAGGGGACAGGTAATATTCAAAATAAAGCCTCGATCATGAGATTTTCCAAATTATTAAAAAATATAAAATATACCAAAAAATTGCTTACAAAAAAATAATAAAATATATATTAGCCAGGAAAATAATTCCAAAGAGGAAAAAATTATATCAAAGTATATCAAATCTAATGGACTGTATCTTTGTTAATAATTTTGTAGGAAATTTAGTTATCTTTCTAATAATTAAGGGTACAATCCAGAAAAAAATGTACACTTTGTGAGTTATTCACAAATAAAGTTTCTTTTCCTTCATAATTTTGTCTCCGGAAGTTTCGTAGGCTTTGACTGTTTTTTGCATGTGATGGAGAAGAAGATCTTCGAAATAAGTGGTCAATCATAAGATTTGACGAAAATTGACGTATCGACAAAAAAAAACCTTTATAGCAATAATATGTAAAGATTATCTTCATTGCAATTTCCTGTTTTTGATCACTATTATTTGTTGGATATATATAAACGTTGGAGGGCTTTAAGGAGAAGAATTTAGGCATATTTGAATTAAATTTGTAATTATTATTCACAAGAAATTAAAAAGAAATGGCATAGAGATTAAAGTAAATTCTTTAGCATCAGATTATGTTCGGATCCTATCCTGGTTATGTAGACGCATGAATGGATCTAGAGATATGGCGTGCTCGATTGTCTGGAAAAATGCTTTTTCAATAGTCCTTGAACTGATGCTAGTTGCTCTACAATCTAGTAACTGCTATTACAAGAGAGGAGCAGCGAATGGGATGCATCCATAATCATTACGACTAAATATATCATTCATTTCTTCTTTACCTCCAAATTCTATAATTACGGTTATTTCAATCATATTAAAAGATCTAATCATTTTGCAAATAAATAATTTATTATATCCAAACTAGGTTAAAAATGAAAAAAAAAAAAAAAACAAGACGAGAAAAACATAGAAGTGAACAACATATAGAAATGTTAATCACTTACTGAAAACTAGTCAAATTTATTTAAATTACATCCTAGTAATATTAAGGATATTTAATTTAAAAATGTACTCATGAAAGTGAAATTACAGTATAAAAAACATATACAGTATATTACAGTGAATACATTATTAAAATCCTTGAGGGAAACGTTTTTGATGACTGGATCAAACGTAAGTGAGAAGGAATTGTGTGCCCCATTATGAATCAAACCCTCCGGCCAATAAATTTATTTACAAACTCCTCACCTCCTATTTGGTAACAAACTCCTCACCGGCTCAGAATGGACAAAAACTATGAAGTTCAATTAAGCTCCTCTCCGAGGAGTACCAGCGACCGGATGACAGGCCAACCGAGATATTGGACCTTTCTGCCACAGATGTGGCTCATCCGAATAACACGGTCCTTATAACACGCCGGCACAATAATATAAAGAATTAGCTATCCCAACTCCTAGAAATGAAAAACTTTAGATGTTTCGTCGAAGTATATTGTCTAGATACAGAAGGCCGCAAGATTCGTTTATATTAGAAAAGAAGAAGTAGATCCCACGATCAGGTTTGAAACAAATCATCAAGATCAGAACTTTAATGTGCAGTAGAGAAAGAATAATTTCATAAGTAATGCGTACTTTAATTAAAAGAAAAATATAGGGACGAATTCGGAAAGATAAACTTCTCAGTTTAAGGGCTATGGTTCCGAAGTAGGGGAACCATCCCTCTTACTACAAGTGATTCCTTGCAGAAGCTCGGAATTGGAAGGGAGCAGATGGAGACAATGGCAGAGATTATTATTTTGGGCTCGTGGAGGATCTTCCGAAAACGGATACGCTAGGCATTGCCTTCACTTGTTCGTTTCTGTGCGGTTTTTAAACATATTTGCTATTGTCAAATGGACCCAACTGGCTGTTTGTTTTGTTATAAATAATGTCTCTTGGACTAATAAGTATGCTGTTATGCAGGCATGCAATATTATTGCAGTTCTCTCAAGGTAGGTGACAAGTCCATTAATTTCCTCCCAAGTCGAGGAAACACTCATTTTTAAAGTCAACTTTTCATAACTCAAACTTAAATGTGACCAGACACTATTTCGAGTTGAAATAGATTACCTTTTAGACACTTCGAGTTCTAATATTTAATAATATGTATTAATCAGTTTTGGAGCTGTACCCGGGTAATATGATTGAGGTAATTTCATCGCGGCGAATCAAATGGGCTTGTAAAGTTGTTGGGCTTAGTAACGAGAGAATTCCTAAAAGGTTAATATTTGCTGTGCCGAATGGTAAGCGTCTCAGGGGTAGACCGAAACGAAGGTGGAAATATTGTATTAAAGTGGATCTGAAGGGACTGGGTTTGGACGGCGAACGATGGAGGGAGGTGTGTAATAAGCGATTGGTGGTGTCGGCATCGAACCTTCGGGTTCGTTAAGCCTTTTATTATTATTATTATTATTATTAATCAGTTTTGACACAATGCATTTTTTCTTCTATTTATGCAGCTTACACGTTATATTATTTCAAGTTTCTGAAAAACACAGAGCAATTATAATTTCCATTGAATCAACCTTTCTAAAATCAAAACTATCAATATTTAAAACGGATTGGCATTACAAAATATATATATATATATATATATATATATATATATATATATATATATATATATATATATATATATATATATATATATATATATATGTATTGTGTTTTATTCGTCTCCCGTTATGGGTCAACAGCCATTAGTACTTGTTTATTATTGTTTTTTATTTTTTGTAATGCTAATCCCTTTTAATATATATATATATATATATATATATATATATATATATATATATATATATATATATATATATATATATATATATATATAAATATATATATATAATAATTCTAATTCAATGCATATACTACTTCGTCAACAATTAGTTTGTGGCCCAGGAGCGAACTAATGCGACAATAATTGTAAGTTGAAACTTACATTTAGTTATTTTGTTTAGCCTTGCTAACATACAAACATTTATTTTCTAATGGTTCTACAGAACTTGTACTTTTGTAGCCATAACCAGCTTCCTCTATCTCTGAATCTCCATCTCAGCTCCTGTAATCTGCCTACAGTTTTTTTAGTAGTTCTAGTTTTACCTATCACGTGGTCTCTTGCCTACTATTGAGTTCATATTCATGTTTAGAGACTTTCTGATGGATTGCTCTGAGCTCCATGCTCCTTTCCATGAGATATTCATTTTGCTTCTACACAAATCTCTATGGTTGAGGTGAAATTATTTTTTTAATAATTATTTACTTATAGACCGATTTGTTCTTCTTCTCTTATCGGACTCTTAGCAAGTGTTTCAGACTAGAAGGATAGTTCTATCAACTAACTATCCAAAGATTTTGTGAATTTTTCTGCCGATCATCCTTACAGAACAGCATCGACGAGATTTCTGCAATCCAGTTCGAGCTGAAAGGTTCACATATTTGTAACATTGTATTAGGAATTGACATTCGTACACGCTTTCGTCAATTTCGCCACCTTGCAATCACAACATAAAATTTTAATGTTATAATATACGTAAATATTATTATTTTGTAAGTAATATCGCAGGACAAGAAATAAAACAAAATTCTAGTTTAAACTTAGAGTCGCTTTGGTTCCACCTTCTCACTATCGAATATTATTGGTCGTCCTTTTATATACAGTCACTTAACTGGATTTAACTGGATGGACTAGTGTTCAATAAAACATGAGGCCACAATTATTACAACCCAACTAAACCAT